GATTTTAAGAGAAAAGAAACAAGGGTTAGTGGTCGACTGTCATGTACTGATGGTCGGCACACACACTAATGGTCACGACTGTCACGTACTGATGGTCGGCAGACACACACACACTAATGGTCATGACTGTCACATACTGATAGTGGGTCTGGGAATGTCTGATCTCCGGGCAAACAAGGAGTTGAGTAATTTATCTTTAAAACTCTATATCTGTTACAAATTTTATCTAGCTTTTCAGAACTAACAAGCTTCTTAATCATTAGCTCACATTTAATTGTAGTCAGGGCTACAAGAATTCTAAGATTACAAGGTTTTGTAGTCTCACATTCTCCACTGATTTTTTTTATAACCTAAGTAATCTTACGCATAAATACAGGCATCTATTGTATACAACAACATGACAATAATAAGCATATATATACAACTATGATGACAAGAAAAAGTTGTTTTAACCATTTTAGGTTGGGCAACCATTTAGTTAGCCATTTGAACAAATCCCTGTCATCTTCGTCATGTACTCTTTGAGCCAGATCTTTTAATTGTTTTACCTTTTCTTTGATTTTTGGACTATTATCGGTAAGATTGAAACAACACATATTTTTTATCCTTTTACAACCTTGGTGGTGGAAGAGCAACAAATAGTCTATTGTTGCTCTATTATCTAAGATTGTCTGTCTCTGTTCCTGTAACTCTTGGTTAATTAATGTCAAAGCTGTTGAGGTAGTATTTAACCCTTTGACCACCTTGTACGTTAATTTTTGCGCTGTTCTTTCGGCATGGACCCCTATGGAAGGCAGGGCAACAAAGGATGTTATCATAGTTATTACTTTAGCATCTGTTAACAGACCTACATCATCATCACATCTTGGCACAGTGTAAGGTGACCAACGTTTAGCTCTATTAGGCACAATCAAATCAGTTCTATCTGGCAATACTACAGCTAGACGACTCAAGCAGCAATGGGTCTTGGTTAAATTTGCTGGAATATAATTGAAGGTTATTCCTTCACAGGTATAAAACCACCCTATTGGCAGGGAGATATGGCAATTGTTATATACAATTTTTTGTTTTATATGGCAGGGCATCTCTTCTGATTGTTTTATCCTCAGACACTTAGTTGTACAATTTTTATACATAGCACATGGAGTCTTATTTGACATGATTACCTTGGGTGTATATAATTTGACAGCATTTTTAGGTTTATGACATGAAGCATGTCCCCAGTTATAACTATCTATATAAGTAAGGTTCTTTTCTGGGAAGTTTTTGAACAGGGTATAGGGTCGTATTAATTTTAAAGAGGTGTATACCAGAATAAGACAGCTTCTCAGCACATAATGGAAATTTACATTAACATTCAGACAGAATTTGGACAGATTAAGGGAGTTTGTCAATTGAATCTATACATTTTTTGTATGATCTAGTCCTCTTGGGGGCAAAACTGCCAGTGTCCCAGAGAACATTATCATGAATGTGAAACACCTCTAGCCCACTCCAGTCTCAGTTTTAGGTCACCTGGTTGGCTGGTAACCTTTTATTTGTCCTTTGTGATGTCTGCGGGGGGTCCTGCCTTTAGATGGTTGTGATGTATCCAGGCAGAATGTCTGGCTACCTTTACTGTCCAAGGAGTCGACAGGACAACAGGAACTGGTCCCTTCTAAAGTGGTTCCAGGGTCTTGGAATCAAACCTGCGAATAAAAACCAAATCTTCTGGCTTATAGGGTAGAGGTTGTAAAGGTTTTTTATTGAGACTAGGCATTGTCTTCTGTAATTTATCATGTAGTTCTGACTGAAGCTGATTAAATGTTTTTAAGGATTTAAGTAGTTGAAGGTGGGAAATCTTTTTTTTTAATTTTACATCTACTAGTGGAATGATTGGGGGAGATCGTCCATAAACAATCTGGAAGGGGGACAGATTGAGGGGAGGCTTGGGAGTGCACCTCGTTCTGAGGAGGGCAAAAGGGAGAAGCTCTACCCAACCTAGTTCAGTCTCCAAGCATAATTTAGTCAGAATCTCCTTTAAAGTGCGACTTGTTCTTTCTACCTGTCCTGAGCTTTGAGGCCTATAGGCTTAGTGTAGATTTTATTTTATTCCAAGGATATTACTAATTAATTTAGATATCTTAGCCATAAAGGCCGGACCATTGTCGGACTCCAGAGCTAAGGGTAAACCAAAACAGGGAACTGTTTTTGTCAAAAGCTTTTTGACTGCTATTTTAGCTGTCTCCCTTTTAGTGGGATATGTTTTTACCCATCCTGAAAAAGTGTCCACAAAAACCAGTAAGTATTTGTACCCATACATGTCAGGCTTTATTTTAGTAAAGTCCAACTCTCAATGTTCTCCTGGAGTTAGTCCTCTGTGTCAGACCCCAGGGGGCCCAGTTACCCGATTAGCATTTACCTTGAGGCAGGTGGGGCATCGTCTGACCATGTCCTGGGCCTTTTGGGCTAATCCCGTGCTGACGAAATGAGGTCGCAGGGCAGCCATTATTTTTTTCTCTCCAAGGTGGGTGGACTCATGTAGTTCTCACAGTAACATATCTATTACAGCAGCTGGGAGCACCACCTTTCCATCATTGGTCATCCACCACCCATGTCTTCCTCGAGTCCAGTGTCTCCTGTTTATTTCTGCTACTTTTTTATCCATGTATTTAGGTTTTTCTGGGAGTACTGGTGTGGGGAGCAGAACCATTTGTTTCCCCACTGATTTTGGGGCAGCTTGTTTTGCTGCCTGATCAGCAGCATTATTACCAATCACCTCGGGGCTAAACCCCTTTGGTGCCCACGGCATTGGATGATGGCGACCTCTCAAGGCAACCAGATGGCTTGTAGCAATGTCAATATCTCAGCCTTGTTTTTAATTTTCTTTTCTTCGGAGGTCAGCAGCCCTCTATTTTGATAAATCTCCCCTGTACATGGGCGGTGGCAAAAGCATAACGGCTATCAGTGAATATATTTATCTTTTTTTTTTCTCAGTTCCAGAGCCTTAGTTAGAGCAATCAGCTCAGCCCTCTGCGCTGATGTCCCTTGAGGTAGCCCTTGTTCCCCTTTTACCTGTTGGTCCTGGTTGACCACCGCTGTTCCAGCATACCGTACATTATCATGAAAAAAAACTGTATCCATCAGTGTATAACGTTGCCTCTGTGCAGGGGAGGGCCTGGTCCATTAAGTCTCTATGTCTGTAAATATAAACCTTTTATAACAAACTTGAAACCAACAAGCAAACATACATTTTTTTTGATAAATCATTTCGCACACCTTCTCGATGTACTTAGGCCTTTTGGTCTTGTATATCTCTCTTTATCTTTTTAACAAGACAAAATACAAAATCTTTTCATACCAAAAGTATATCTCTTTTACTTATAGCTTTTTAAAATTTTTTTTTGTCTTACTTACTACAAACCTTCTATAACAAACTTGTCTTTAGCTGTTAAAATTTTAAAGTGTCTCTCTTTTTTTTTTTTTTTTGTAAAATCTCTTGATGTCTGGTAGAGCACAGTTGTAGTTTTTCTGGCTTTGTTTTGGATTTCAGACCTTTGTAGCCACATCAGGCTGATAACACAGCGCTGGCCTTGGCTCTCAAAGCCAGAAGTGTTTTTTATTTTGCTTTAAGTTTTTTAGAGCTTTCCTAGCTGTTTTTAATCCATTACTTATTATTATTATTATTATTTTAGTTCTTTTTAATCTGAATGTAAGCCCTGCTTGACCCTCTTTGAGTCTGACCACAGCACCCAGCCTGCACCTTCCAGTGCCTTGAAGCCAAGCTGTTCTCCTCATGATCTCTTCATGCATTTGCAACTCAAGTGGAGAGAGAGGCAGCTTTACCTCTTCCAGAGCAGAAGCACTGGGGTTTGTCTGTAACAAAGTCACATTATCTGAGAGGTGAGTCCGCTCTGTGAAAGGCAGCAGATTTGGTGAGCAGTTGTTGCAAGACCAAAACTAGACAGTTTTCACAGGCAGCTGATTGTCATGGAGCAGGAGCTTGAGTTGCTCCCAGGCTCAGTTGTTCAGCCACAAAACAGAGTGCACAGGGCTCCAAGTTGTCAACTTTAATTAAAATCTCAAGGGAGAGAACTTTTTTTTTTTGTTAAGCTGTCTGGGTGTTATTTTTTATCTGTTTTTTAAGTTCCATATATTTAACTATCTTTTGTAGCATTTATTTTAACACTGTAGGCCTGCTTGGGCTAAAAGAGATTGTCCCATGTTTTAGTCCCCCCTTTATTATCTTTTTACATCTGAAACATCTGCCTTTTTTTTTTTACTTTCTCTGTGTTTCTTTTGGATGAAACCTCCATCTGTTAAGCCTGTAATATTTGTTTTTCTTATCTTTTTAGCCATTTTGTCATCAAAAGGATCCCTATTATTAAACACCTTCATTGCCACACTCATCAACTTTTTAGAATTTTTTCCCTCAAATCCTTCCATCTGCTGTAATTTCTTTTTAATATCTGGGGCTGATTGAGTAACAAATGCCAAATTAATTGCCTGTCAGTTTGCAGGGGCATCTGGGTCAATTGGAGTATACGTACGGTATGTTTCTAATAGATGCTCCAGAAAGGCAGAAGGGGATTCCTCAGGCCCTTGAAGGACCTCACTTACCTTGTTCAAGTTGGTAGGCTTTTGAGTGGCTCCCTTCAAGCCAGCTAGGAGATGCTGATGGTAGTTTTGGAGAGCTTTTCTCTCACCTGAGGAATTAACTTGCCACGGGGGACGGGTGGAAGGAAGTTGTGCCTCAATACGGGCTCGTCGTTGTTCATCAAGTGGGCCCTCTGTTCTTCCCAACACTGACTTGATGGCTTGCTCTTGGATCCTTTCTCTCTCCTCAGAGGTGAAAAGGGCTTGGAGAAGTTGTTGACAATCATCCCAGGTTGGGTCATGTGTATGAAAAACAGATTCTAGGAGGGAGATCAAAGCCTGAGATTTTTCTGAAAAAGAGGGATTTTGATGTTTTTAATTATATAAGTCACTGGTAGAGAAAGGGATATAGACATAATGACCCTGTTCTATTTCCCAAAGAGGTAAAAGAGGAACCAAACCAGTCCCTTCAGTGGGAGCCCTACTGGGACCATAAGCAGCCCCTGTTCACGTGTGGGAGGTTACAGAATCTGGAGATTTTTTTCTCTTCGGGAAAGGGAGGGTAGAAAGGGTTTCGAGATTTAGGGCCAGCTTTATCAGAGGAGGAGGATGGCTCCACATAGGGTGGAGGTCTTATGACAAGATCTAAGGGGTCAGGATCTTGTGAGAGCACTGGCTTGGGAGCCCGGGCTTTGGCCTCTCGGGGTTCTCTTGGGGCCATAACAGAATGCGAGTGTTTGTTCACAGGGAACAACGCTGCAACCAAACCGGAGGCTCCTGACAAGCCTGGACCCAAATATTTATATAAGGAAATTGATCAGGATGACTAGGGTGACCAGTGACCTTATTCCATACAGCCCAACAGAGGCTAGGATCAAAAGAGCCCTCTGCTGGCCATCCAACTCCAAAAGCTGGTCATTCCAATTGACACAGGGAGCGAAGTTTTCCAAGAGAAAATTTAACCCTATATTTGTCCTCCTATTCAGGGGAAAAAGCCAATTTAAAATTAGTAAGAAAACAGTCTAATGGGGTAACCTTGGAGCAGGATCTGCCCATCTCTGCCCTTGATAGTTTAGAAAGAAATACAAGGTTAAACACACAACGGACAGAACACTAACGAATGAATGACAGGACGAACAGGCGTCACAACAAAAGTGAAACTAAATCTTCCCTTGTTCCTCGTCAGGAACCTTGGGGTCAGGGGAGGCTCCCTGGCTCATCAGCCACCTCACTCCTGACTTAACAAACGGTTGCAACCGGCCACAAAAACTTACATCCGGAGGTTTTCTGAGGTCTGTGCCTGAGAGTCTCCTGCTGGATCCCGCTATAGAGTCTCGGCTGAATCGGGGTTCCTGCCTGGGGATCTCGCTGGGGCCTCCAAAATGTAAGACTGAGGGCCTTATCAAACCCTCTGAGGAGCTGACTGCAGCAATGAACACCCGGGAAGGAACACACCTGACAAGTTGGAAAGTAAAACAGACCTTTATTAGTCTGGCCAGACAGCACTCCCAAAGAAAAGTAGCTTAGAGAGGCAACTGGCTCAGAGTCCGGGGCTGTTTCTATAGGGGGTTGAGGGGGAGGTTAACATGTAGATTTTAAGAGAAAAGAAACAAGGGTTAGTGGTCGACTGTCATGTACTGATGGTCGGCACACACACTAATGGTCACGACTGTCA